TCGCGGTCATCTAAAACATCGGGGTTACAAAAGAAAAGACATTGATAAAGGTTTTTCTCGTGCTAACAACATCAGCCGAGATGAACTTTTACAATATAAAGTCAAAAAGGTCAACAGGAGGGTGCTTTTTGTGTTGACTTACCATCCAAAATTTGACAACTTATCTCACCTAATCCGCAAAAATTGGAAAGAAACTGAAAAACATCCTTAACTATCCAAGATCTTTCCCGAGCCACCTGTAATGGCTTTCCGTAGGCCCAAAAGCCTTAAAGACTTGCTGGTGAGAGCTGATTTATCCTCTCAAGCAGACTCTTCGTCTGTGGGCTCTTGCAAGGGTTGCGGAAACAAACGATGTCTGACTTGCAAACAAATACTGGTTACCCAGACTTTTAACAGTCACTCCACTGGTACAGAATACACCTTATTTTGCAATGTTAATTGCAAGACTACAAATGTTGTGTATCTCCTACAGTGTAAATGTGGTAAACAGTATGTTGGCGAGTCAGAACAGCCGTTTAACAAACGAATGAACGGTCATCGTAGCGACTACCAATGCAAGCCAGACCTCCCTCTCAGTCGACATTTGAGATCCCCTGGCAACACTAAGGCAGATCTCAATCGACTGACCATTACAATCATTGACATCAACTCTGCTTGGTCTAGGGAGGATAGACTCACTCGGGAAAGATTTTGGATAAGAAAATTAACAACTTTGGCACCAAATGGAATAAATGAAAAGATGTAGTTCGACTCCATGCAGTGCTTCACATTTGGGTTATATTACTTATTATTACAGTCTCTGTTTCTATTTCTTTAACTTACTCATCTCTAAAATAAATCTGTTGAATATACCAATTTAAATTGCTTAATTTTTTGAGGGATGTAAAAGTACCAAGCCACGTTCAACTAGTTAACCTTAGTCAAAATTTATTATTATATTTTAACGGCCGTTTGTTTGAAATGTTTAAATACGCAGACTCTGTTGCAACTACTCTACCGTTGTCAAATTTGAAATATTTACAAATTTAGATCGTTCAGTGCTGTTTATTTGGAATTCTTATTGACACTATCGTTCTTGTAACATCATAACGGTCGTCACCGTTAAAGCTTTAGAATTGTGCTAGTTCATATCGCACATTATTAAATTTATTTAAAGCATATATTTGAACTCTCTGTTGTAATTAGTCATATAACCTATGTCGTGTTTAACACATATTTAGAATTGTGCAAGCGTCTTACCTGATGTTCAGTTTGACTTTTCTTTTGCATAAATTTCAAGATTGTTATAGTTTAATCTAAGTAGACTGATATATGATTCATTCAACATCACAATCATATTAACTGATGAAGGATATCTGTTATCCGAAATATTTATAAATAATTACATTTATAGTTCCTTTTTTTTTTGTTATTGGTGTTGTTGTGTACACTTTTTAGGCGTTTATATATATCTTTCCGCAAGTTTATTGTTTTCTGTTTGGTAATGAATTATTATAATATCCATTTTAAACATCTGGTGATCCGTTTATTTGGCAATCGTAAATGGCAGTCAGCAGGGTTTAAGAACATCAGTTGTTCGACCTGCTAGTCAAATGCGTTTTGTTAAAATATACTTTTTCACTTTTTGGTCTTTTGGAAAATGTTGTTTGTGCTGTATTTAGACCCCTCTACCAAGAAATTTGTTTTGCATGCACACGTGTAAAAATTGCGGTTTTTATCCAACGCAATCATAGGTTTGAACGTTGTTTTCAATTTAGACTTTTATATATAAAGGTACAAGCCCTGTGTGTCCGTTGTACCGATGTGTATATATATATTGTTTTCTGTTTGGTATTAAATTAATATTAAGATCCATTTTTATACATTTTGTGATCAATTTATTTGGCAATCGTCAATGGCAGTCAGCAGGGTTTAAGAACATCAGTATTTCGACCTGTTAGTCAAATGCATTTTGTAAAAATATTCTTTTTCACTTTTTTGGTCTTTAAGAAAATGTTGTTTGTGTTGTTTTGAAACCCCTCTACAACGAAATTTATTTTACATGCACACGTATAACAATTTCGGTTTTTAACCAACGCAATCATAGGTTTGAACGTTGTTTTTAATTTAGACTTGTTTATATTTTTTCGTTTGGGCTTGTATTATATTTTCCCTCCGGTTTATATAATCTGTTCATCCTATCTCGACTCTTTAAAATTCAAGAGTCTATCCTAAATTGAGGTAAATTATATGGCCTTCCAAATACCGTTTTGATCCTTAACATCACTGAAGAGACATTAATTGTCGAAAGCCGGATATGGTGTACTAATTTTTGCACCTCATGTTTGTGGTATAACATCTTTGCCGCATGTTTATTGTTTTCTGTTTGGTATTAAATTAATATTAAGATCCATTTTGTTACATCTTGTGATCAATTATTTGACAATCGTCAATGGCAGTCAGCAGGGTTAAAGAACATCAGTTGTTCGACCTGTTAGTTGAATGCGTTTTGTTTAAATATAATTTTTCACTTTTTTGGTCTTTTGGAAAATGTTGTTTGTGCTGTATTGAGACCCCTCTACAACTTTTTTTTTTTTATGCACACGTATAGAAATTGCGGTTTTTATCCAACGCAATCATAGGTTTGAACGTTTTTTTTTTCAATTTAGACTTGTATATATATATATATATAATTCGCCTAAACAACAGCCCAACAATGTTAGATCTGTAAATTTGCTGAAGCAAATTTTTTGTTCTTTCCTGGCCTGGATTCGAAGTCATGCTACTGAGATTTCGTGGCACCAAATCGCTTTGCACTATGACCGACGCGCTAGACCACTCGACCACCTAGGCTCTATAATAGTAAAGCTTTCCGTGGCGGGTGTTACCTTTCCTCGTCAGTTTTTATCTAGCGTCGTTACACAGTACATGATATATAAGGCACGAAAATGGAATTGTAACAGATCAGCTGAATATCTATTGTAAAGGATCCTCCAAATTAATATAAGATGCAGTCACAGAAATAATTATATTATAAGTACGTCTGAACCAGTGATGACTCTACAACAGATTTTATCTCCATCGGATCACCAGCAGTGATGGTGATACAAGGCTGAAAATACATTCTGTATATATAATTCGTCTAAACAACAGCCCAACAATGTTAGATCTGTAAATTTGCGGAAGCAAAATTTTTGTTCTTCCCTGGCCGGAATTCGAACTCATGCTACTGAGATATCGTGGCACCAAATTGATTTGCACTATGCCCGACGCACTAGACCACTCGACCACCTAGGCTTTATAATAATAAAGTTTTCGGTGGCCGGGTGTTACCTTTCCTCGTCAGTTTTTATCTAGCGTCGTAACACAGTACATTATATATAAGGCATGAAGATTGAATTGTTACAGATCAGCTGAATATCTATTGTAAAGGATCCTACAAATTAATATAAGATGCAGTCACAGAAATAATTATATTATATAGATTATATACAAAATTAACAATCGTATGGTATAATTTGGTAGCCGCAAGGTTAAGAACAATGATTCTCGTTTAATTTGGGATTAATATTGGCTATTTCACGTATTTGAAAAGAAAAAGATTACATTCAATTTGTTCATTTTCGTTTTATAAATATAGTATGATTTCATCTGTTTTACTTCATATCCTTACAAATTTGTATATGCAAATCCCTATGCAGGTAAATTGTGATGTGCGTAGAATTAGGTTTCTTGTTAGAAATTTCGGTTACATGCTTATTATATATACTCAGAAATAAGTTCGAATATGTCTTATTTTGTAAATTAAGGATACTAGTAATATTCAGATGCATAATAATTTTAAGACAGACGTGTTATGTTATATTTGTATTTCTTTAACCAATCGAATCTGAATTTTGATTTATTAATGCACCGTTGAACATGATAACATGGTTTTTTAAACAATACCCTCTAATTAAGAAAAGGCTTTAATATAGAAAAGACAGCAACACAATAATTAATTTAGAGACACAATGGATAATTATTGATTCATGAAAAACAAATCATTCGCCTTCCGGGGTCATGGTTTCTTTTTTCAATAATCAACGCTTATCCATTGTATCTATAATACAGAATTTGGAGTAGATCTTTAGAATTTTTAAGAATCAATATTTGAATGACACCGCTTTTACCAAAATATTTCATAATATTTCTGCAAACCATTTCTTACTGTGCAAAGAATTGTTGGTAAGTACTTTAGAACGATGTTAAGCCGAACATTTCGAATCAAAGGAATCCAGTACAACCATGTGAAATTTTCATTGTAATTTTTTATGATAATACTAATTTGAAAAGGGGAGATTGACGAATTTGTGGTTTTCTACACTTTCGTGAAAGACGTAAGGGTATATATGTGTACACACAAATATTGTCAGGTACCAGCATTTACTGATATATTGTAAAACTGTTGTCTTTCTGTTATGAATCACTGTTTTTCGTAATTTAACTAAGATTATCAGATCAAACTTAGATACTGCAAATGTATTTTACAATTGTTGAATTAATGTTGCATATGATATTAGATCATTTCTAAACTTCAAACATCTAACTAGAAACACACTTTGTGTTACTTCAAACTCTGTGAATATCTTTTTTGAGACAGAAATATGTAACTATAATTTCTTTTTTTCAGTACGTTAATTTGTATAAGCTGAATTAATCCTCATTTCACAACTGTATATACTTTGAAATGGAGGTACCCTTTTAACCCATTATAGAAATATTTTATCAAAGTAGATCTATAGATATTTAATTGTGTTTATTGAAAACATTTTGCAACTTGTTCATCGGCTACTCTAGTCCAAACCCTACATTCCTCTTCAATAAGAATGATAAAATCTTATCATGCTAATCCTATCATTTATCAAAGTATAAAAGGACGAAATAGTAAACAAAAGGTACAACATAACAGTTAAACAATCAACATTATTAATCTTATTTTTCAAAAGGAAAACCTTTTTAGGTTATGAGATGTGCCAGTTTTGTTTTCAGATTGTGTTAGAGTCATCTTTCAATTTTAAGAACAACAATTAACTGAAACTCTCTGTTACGTCATATGCTTTATTTATGTATAGAAACAAAAAACAATAAATACTACAATACATGGATGAATATCAGATAAATATTGCACTATCTATTGTGGCCTTGGTTGTCTTATTTTATGCGTAGGTCTTGGCAAGAACACATACAGAACATCCATTTCTTGTGACACATTCCTCGTTGAAGTTGCAGCCCCGTGAAATGCACGTATTTTTACAGCCTATTGAATCAACTGGCAAGATACGTCTAACTAGACTACCTGATCGAATAGAATCTACTGGCGAGATACGTCTAACTAGACTATCTGACCGAATAGAATCTACTGGCGAGATACGTCTAACTAGACTACCTGACCGAATAGAATCTACTAGAGCACCTGTGAGGGTACTGTCTAAGGAATCTCCAGTGATGATTCGGCCTCCTGGAAATGAATCTACATCACGCTGACAAAGACGTCTGCAATCTCGCCCACCTTGCACCAAACATCTCTCAACGCATCCTGATGTAATAATGTCTGATCTGACTACTGCATTTGATAAAATTACTCTTTCAGGTCTGCACATACGATTACAGCCAATTGTTTTACAACTGTATCCAGTTTGACAATCTAAATGACTAGAGCATTCAATTTCACAAGCTTTCTTCACTGGATATACTGTAATAATAAATTTTAATCAGAAATGTCGAAAAATGAAATATCGTTGGTAACTGAGGTTGGACTTAATTATTGGGTTTCGATGTTTTCCATAATCACTGTGTTTATAGCAATTTTTTATTGTCACTACAATTATTACGTAGAGTAAATAGTAATAAATTTATGAAAAATTTGAGTTAATTTCATATCGTTAACAATTACAAAAAATGTATTGAACTCTTTGTTCTAATACCTTTTCCCAATCTGTCTGTTTTAATTAACTTACAGCAATCTTAAAATTTATTTGTGCTTTTCAATACAATAAATTAGGTATTCTCATTTTAGATTGAAGTCATTTTTGTATTGCGAGCTACAAATTCTATTCTTCAAATGATTTAAAATTCCTTTGTTTTCCCAATGTGAAGGTATACGAAATAACAGTCTTCCAGGAGTTGAAACGAAGTAGCATTGTTTGTATTTTGATTTTCGTATACAAGATTGTTTATAAAATGTTTGGTCTGTTGGTATTCAAATATTTGGTCTGTAGTTTATTAATAATATTTGCTCAAGATTCATTTCTTTGTTTAATTAAAACAATAAACCAAAGATTGGAAATATGATGCAATAAGATACATACCAGCAAAAGCACATGCTATAAATCCAAAGAAAATGATAACAGCTTTCCCTTCCATTATATCTGGAATGAATATTAAAACAATTTAAATGGGTTGAAAACGCTATATTTGATGAATTAGTTTTTCTACCAAAATAAATGAGGCATTGTGGAACATGTGGAAGAGAAAGAGATATATATATACTCATAACTTATTGGTATTTTTCTATTTATCGAATCGAATTTTGCGTTTCACTAAAAGCTGCACACCTATACAATTATAGAAATCGTCGTAAAATACATACAAGTCAGGAGTGCAATTCATTATATAATAGAAAAAGATCGAAATGTCATCAGAAGATCTGTTGATCATGAATGTTTGAAAAGATGATATCAATTTATCTTCGATTTATGAAATTTTGTTGTCCCTTTCGTATTTCCCCTCTTTTTTTATCCTTATTTTTAATCATATAACGTTCACAGAAATATTTCAATATAAATTTAAATTTTAGATTATAGATTTGATACTAAAAATCTATTACTTTTACGAACCGTTAAACTAAACGTTTCATCGAAATATTATTAAAATTGTTTATTGTTTTTAAGATTTAATTCGTTATAAACATATGACTAACCTCAAAAGTGTCTTTTTTAATTGTGTACAGAAATGTTTTGTGAAGTCTTCAATTTATTTCTGTCTTATATACACCCTACATGAGGAAATACACTGTATTAGAGGAAATAAACGGTTCAGTACAACTGTTACGTAAGTTTTGTAATACTTGTTATTATGAACATCAATCAAGTTCTAAATGCCATACGTGCATTGTGAATATTTGTATAAAACTTAAACCTCAGTCTCCCGTGTCACCAAACCACAATAAAAAAATATATGAAATATGTCTTTGGTCAGAAGGTTTTGTTTGAACAACAAAAAACTTTTGTTATCTGTTTGATTCATTTATTCCTTTCCATCTCTTTCTTTATTGCTGCCACACATTTTGATTAAAGGCGGCTTTCTTTTTGTATCTATAGTACAAAGTTTAAGACATTAAACCAGAGCGATGCTATTGGGGATGTTGCCATGCCGAAACATGCATTTGAATATTGTGGTCTTTAAGGACAGATTCACCATGGGTGTGCATTAATACTTTCAATTCTGATTTTGATTTTAACAAACGACCTCGAAACTTGAATTATTCGGAAGGACTATTTCTGTCTTTTTTTCTCAGATTTTGCACATTTCATGACAAAATCTTTGTCAAAATTCACTTAAGGTTCGCCGTGGCACAAAATCTTTATTTGATAGCATATGGTTAGATAAATATTTGAAATCGAAGTTCCTTATTTATCTTAAACTCTCTGGTACAATCATCGTGGTTTTCGTGTGTTAGTAAACAATCAATATTTGGGTTATATTACAACCGGCACGAGTTAAATTGAGAAACCTTTAACGTTCTAATGTGTAATGCTGATTATTTATTAACTTTTAAATCATTAAAGAATAATTGAGTTTATTTGAATTTAAAAAATTTCAAGTCAATTTAATACTCCAACAGTACTAATAAATATATAAAGAACGAATACAAATACGTAAAGAAACAGCCTATATGTAACTTCAGTATGTCATTCATTGTCTAAGCTGTTGAAACATACTTCTATTGGGGATTGTAGACCTCAACCAAGAGCAGGTAACCTTCAAAACTTTCCAAACAGGATTCAATTTTCAGGTAAAACAAAATATTTACATGAAAATGAAATTTTAGACTTTGAAATATTTTAAATCTTAATATGGTGTCATCTTTTGACCATTTTGCCATTAACAAACCGACACCAGTGGAGTGTGCCAGCATTCTGCAGAACACTTTGGTTATAATGTGAAAGATTGTCAGAACAACATCGGTTACAAACTTTTCTTATACCAATAGTTGCATCTGATTGGAGCAAATTCATTCAAATCCAACATCAACCCCGTCATATGCTGTCTATGCCTATCACAAGTCAAAGCCCGAAATGAAATCAAAGTAATATACAATCTGGCACAGCTAAAACAAATCTGTCCCCATGGTATTGCTCAGACCGTTTCCGAAAATAAAATGTTTGGTATTCAAAATTGGTTTATGGGACATTTACAACTGTAAGGTTAAAAAATGAATTATTTTTAACTGCAACGTGACATTTTAATCATTTACCTACTAAAATAGCATTTTCATGTTTTATTGATGTTTTGAGAAAAAGGTGTTTTTACATTTTATTATCAACAAATTGTATTGCTTTATTATATATAAATATACTAAATAAATAAATGATTTGGAAAATACGTTAAAGGTATAAAAAGTCATGAGATTTCCGAATGCAATTAGGTTCTATCCGTGCACTCTGGTGCAAAACCTTGGTTCCATCCGGGTCTTTTGGTTCTGATCATTGGTTCTATCTGGGTTCTTTGGTTCGAAACTATGGTAACTGGTTCAACATCCGGGTTGTTTTGTTATAGGAATCCAACTTCTTGGTTCTATTCGGGTTCTTTTCTAAGATTCCCGTTGAACTTTGAGAAGATATCCGCAAGCATCCGAATAGAGAGATAAAGTAGGTCTTGTTTTATATCATTTATACATTCCAGCATCGCCGGAAAATGTAGCTGTAAGGTAAATAAATACCTTCTCATTTTAATTATTTAACATGGGAAACTGGACAAAAATATAACATCGTCTATATCTATATCAACCCAAATATACAATCTAACATCCGTTTTTTGAATCAGAGTTGTTCCGTTTTCATTATTTTTTCACTACTCATCCCCAATTTCCGTCAATATTTTCTAGAAGTTTTAAAAACACTAATTAGGACATATGTCGTTCATTTGGCCAACGATATGTGCATATAGCACTTTTGTAGAAGCGGTGAGCACCTGAGACATCCAGTACCCTTGTCATATATTTTGAAAATATTTATTCTATCATGCTATGCGAAATTAAGCTGTTCCGCAGAGAAATAAATAGATTTGACAAAAATCTGATGCAAGTGACACCCAACCAAGACTATGTCTCTAATTACTATTAACCACATACACTACGGCCATGGCCAATATAAAAATCGGGTCAGCTAAATTAATTTGTTCACCACTAGCCATATGACCTATATACCAATTAAATTAATCATTGGTAAGAGGCCTTACAATTTTATTACAAGCATTGTAAAGTATAAGAAATTTGATTCAAGATTCATTTTCGGTCTAGAAAGTCAAGAAGCTTTTCCAATTCCATGAATTACTAATTTTCGAAATTGTAAGGGAGAATTTTCCTCGTTACAGGAGACAATAGACCATAGGCTATTTGGATATCAGAACACTTGACCTGACAATCTACTTCACTTTAACTATTGTGGCGTCAGACATTTTCTATTGTGACGTCAGAATTTTACGGGAACCTTTGTGATGTCCAGAAATGACGGACAAATAGCGATAAGGTCTATTCAGTTTACCAGACAGTTGAATGTGTTGTTAGCATCTTAATGGCACTGGTCTGAAGGGAAAACTATATGAAATTCTTACCTTAAAGTCTGATAATACTGTGCTCATCTAGCAAGTTGGTTGATTTAATAGTTCATGCCATTAAAACTGAGGGTTCAATCATATCACAAGGATCATACGTGTTATGATTCCACAGCTAATACAAATGTTGAAAAGGATCCAAATCAGTTAAGGAACCAGAGCTACTGTATATATAATAATAATAAGATGTGGTATGATTGCCAATGAGACAACTCTCCACCAACCTGAGACCAAATGACATAGAAGTTAACAACTATTGGTCACCGTACGGTCTTCAACAATGAGCAAAACCCTTACTGCATAGTCATGTACGAATACAGTCTTCACGATATACTTTTAAATCTACAGGCCCGAAGTTTTATTTTACGAAAATTTTAGTTAGATTGATGGATTGTAGAGATGATTTTGACAGGCCTGACAGCATTTTTTACAAGCCTGGGCTGATGGGACTGTGGTTGATTGCGAAGACTGTGAATATTAAAGGGTGAATGTCAAATACTATATACATGATATGAATGATGTTTAAGGTAGCACGGTAGTATTTGCAAACCAGAATTTAGGTTGCTCTTTTGTGTACCCTACTTAGTTCAATGTATCTGAACAGTGTGATTGGACAAAAAATACAGTATCAACTGAACACACTTTCCCAAACTGAGGGATGAATCAGGTGTAGAAAAATATGAAATAATTTTACATACAGGTAAAAATGAATTTTTGAAATATTTTTATTTTGTATTCACTGCATGATAAAAGACCTAAAAGCACTAGTGGCCTTAGGTTTTTAAAGATATCAAAAAAAAGTAAACGGTCATGATACATATTCAAATTCATTTCTGAATAGTATAATAAAAGTACTTC